AAAATGCTCTATATGAAGAGAACCATCACAGGAGAGATGGAATGTCACCAACACTTGGGGAAGTATTAGGTGTCCATCACTCTTCTCAGGCTTGGGCCAGTCACACAGTGATGCTGACAGCCTGTGGTAAAGAGTGGTGTGATTTGAGCGAGAAAACTCCAGTAGAAACTGCCCACACTTGAGGACAATGTCTAGGACATCTGACCTAGTACCAATTGGGGCCCTGAATGAGACATCAACACCCTACCAATGATTCTCAACATGCTTTGCCAGAACTCATCTCTTCCCCCATAGGTGACTGGAGACCCCCAAGGAGACCCTGTCCATCACACACTGCCAACTCTCACAGGCAGAAGTTAATGATCTACCCTGAGCTGGGACCTGCATCAGCTCACACCCTTGGGCCTCAGTGGTGTGGTACTGTCCCATGTATGTATGGGGCTCACCAAGACCATAACACCTTGGAAAGGGAAGGTTGTAGGTTGGGGCACTCCCAGCCAGGTACCCTTCTGGCTGTCATGTGTCAACATTGCTAAGTCACCAAAATCAACTTCAACAATGACTACTCAATGGCTGTCCTTGAGCCACTTCACCACCACTTGACAAATCTGACCTAGTTGAACCAGAAACTCTACCTTGTCCTTCAGGAGAGTCCTAATAACACTGGTTACTATTATAGAGATGTGACCACATTTGCATTGAACTCATGATTGCACTCAATGTCATAAAGCAGCTCAAATCAATCACTTTCCTACCTGTAACTGTTACTGTCTGAGCATCCTTTGGGGATATGTCCACCATACAACAAGGACAATTGCTCAACAGTGTTCAAAGCAACATTATTCATAAAAGTGAAGGTAATAGCTATTTTCTGGCTGTCTGGACTTCATCCCTCAAAGTGGGAGCTACATCCCAGATTTCCTATAGCACGCAGATCTTCATCCTCACTGGATTATGGCTCCAGATCCCCTGGGCTCTCAACTGTGACCCTGACTCAATTGCTCCCATCAACATCCCTGCTTTCCAGCTTACAGGGACC